TCGTACATCGACTTTTCTTCTTCTCCACACTCGTCTCTGTAACTCAGACCCAAAGCCCTCACCTTGTTTCTTCTTCTCCAGTTCTCTCAAGATCCAAAGAGGTAATTCCTTCGATTTTTAGATTTCCAATTGTTAATTTCACTTCTGGTCTGTGAAATTTGGAACCTTTCATGCTTTCTCTGAAAACCCTTTTCCCGATTTCTGTTATTCCGTTCCAAGTTTCGGCTTTTATGGATATATATACTGAGTAATTTTGAGCTTCAAACCAGATAATTTCAATGGAGGAACATAGAGAGGAAAGTGAGATTGTTGGTGATTGTAGAGAGCCCATGGAGGAAGCTAAGGGACTAGGTTTATCTTCTAAAAATGAAACCCTAGATGGTGATGAGGTTGATGTTCCGCAGAAAGAGTCCTGTGTTGAAGATACATGTAATTCGGTTTCTGATGATGTTGCAAGTGGTGATGAGAGCAGTGAGAAAACAATTAGCACTGGTGATGTTGACAGGACTGATGCTGTTGCAGAGCCTGACACTGAGGTTAATAAAATGGAGTGTGAAGGAGATGTTGTGACCACTGAGGTGAAGCCGGTAGATGAGATAGATGGCTCTGAGATTGGTGATGATGAGACAGCTAAGTCTGAAGTTAAGAGTCAAAATGGTGAAAGTGCAGGAGAAGAGGAGACTGTAACCTCTGGTGGGAATGAAGTGACTCACGAGAAGGCAAATTGTGAAGTTGAAGATAATGGTGATGCTTGTGATGATGAGACGCTTTCTGCTGCAGAAGATAAAGCTGACCAAGAGAAGGAATCCGCAAAGAAAAGCGAGGAAGATTTTAACAAAATGGAACAGGGAAATCCGGGTTCTGAGACCAAAGATGCTAAGCATTCAGAATCTGCACCGGTTCCAGAGGAATCTACCCAATTAAGCAAAGGGGATGGAAACAAAGGAAATCCTGGTAATGAATCTGCTACTGAAATATCTCATGAAGAAGTAACAACCAATGTTAACCAAAAAGAAGAAAATGGAGAAGCCATGGAAATCGATTATGCATCAGAGGAAGAGGTGGAAAAGGATGTTAAAGTTGGTGAAGTTTTGAATAATGCTGGCAATGAATCTGCTGATGCAAGTATGGTACAAACCCTAGTTGTTCCAACAGCTGAAGTTGACAGAAATGATTCCAATGTAGTAAAGGAAATGGAAATTGATGAACGGAAAGATAATGCTAATATGGCAAGTGATCTTACCGGAACAATTGAATCTGCTGATGCAGCAAACCCAAACAGTCTCTCTGAAGATGCTGCTACAGGTGAAGCTGAACCATTGGATCATAATCTCTTTGATCCAAGTTCTGATATTACCAACTTTATTGATTTCAGTGGTGTATCATCTTGGTCAGGAAATATACAAGACCTTAAAACCGAAACCGGGAGTGTATCTTTGAAAGAGGATAAGAAAGCAACTAATATGGCAGAGGAAGTTGCCATGGTGGATCGTAAAGAGACCCTTAAATCCCATGATAACTTAAGTGCTGAAGTTGTTGAAAATGAATCCAATGAAGCCTGTGGTGCTTTCGGAGCAGAATCTCCAGCTGCTGCAACAAAGTGTCCAAGAGAGGCTTCTGATGCAATTATGGGATCTGACGAAAACCAAGAAGATAAGGATCGTGAATGCTTAGATAAGAAAACAGCAGATCAGCAAGACACAATGAGAGAGGAAGATGACATTACTCATGAAGCTCCAAGTGTCGATCCAGACCAAAAGGAAGATGCAGAGATGGAAGAAAATCCTAACAATTCTGATTTTGCTGATGGTGGAACCGATTCTGATATTAAAACCAATGGTGTAAAACGAAAGGCTGATGTCCTGAGTGAGGATTCAGCAGGAGAAGGTAGGAAGACTGTTTCATTGGCGAAGGTGTCTTTTGACCAAAGGCCATCCTTTAAGATTGGTGCATGCATAGCCAGAGCTGCTAGTCAGATGGCAGGATCTCCGTCAGTTTTGAAGGGTAGTAGCATTGGTGATGAAACTCTTTCTGTTGAGAGTTTTGTATCCCAGCTTCACTGTGCAGCAACAGACCCTGCTAAAGAGCATGTTGTATCTGATATTGCTGTTGGCTTTTTCTTAGATTTCCGAAACTCATCAGCTTCACAGCACGTTACCCCGGAAAAGGTAAGCAGTAAAAGAGGTAGACCATCCAATTCTAACGCAGGAGGAACCGAAGCATTTGAATTTGAGGAAATGGGTGACACATACTGGACTGACAGGGTGATCCATAATGGTGGTGAAGAGCAAACGCCACCTACTGAAAAAGGAAACTATCAAGTGGTGCCGGTTGAACTGAAACCTGCTCAGGTTAAAAAGACTCGCCGACCATACAGGAGACGGCAGTCTCAGATCACTATTCCTCTTCCTTCAGCCTCAGACAAACCGGCAGGATTTGATGAGAATGCACCAGCTGAGCTTATAATGAACTTTTCTGAAACTGATACAATACCCCCTGAGAAGAGCCTGAGTAAAATGTTCAGGCATTTTGGACCAATAAGAGAGTCGCAGACTGAAGTTGACAGGGAGAACAACCGGGCTAGAGTAGTTTTTAGGAAGGGTGCTGATGCTGAGGTAGCTTACAACAGCGCAGGAAGGTTCAATATATTTGGGAAGATTGCTGTGAATTACGAGCTCAGCTTTACAATTACAGAAGTATTCAAAGTTCAGCCTTATGTTGTCTCCTTAGGCGAGGAGGATGCAGCGGTATCTCTTCCCTCTTAGACGTAGTTTTAATTCAGGCATGGTTCAGGTAAATCTGCTTCATCGCCTCCCCTGTGTTTTAACTTCCTCTATGTACTGCCTTCTGATAATTTCTTTCATGCTTGATTGCTTACATTATATATACATATATCCCACTAGTTTGAAAGTCAATGTGTTGGTAATAGCTAAGGTGCATAGTTTTTCACATATGTAGAATGTAGACCGAGAAAAATTTGATATATGCATAGTAGACCGGTAGATTCAAGCTTGGAAGTTTGTGATCCATTAACACATACATGACGATAAAGCGATGAGACCTTGTCTTTGGACTTTGATTATTGTGTTTTTTTCTTATGAAAGGCATACCATCCAATCGGTAACAACTTGATTTAGTATAATGGTGATAGTTGACAGAAAAAAAAAGGCATACATGAAAATTGATTTTTTTTTTGTGTTTTCAGGTGGAAACAATCAGGCAAGCATCAAGAGAAGTAAAAGATGAAGTGGCTCAATGGAATTGGAGGGGCTCTTGCTTGTGTTTTTGTTACCTTTTAGGTAGAGACTTAGGCTATCTAATAATATTATGAGCTTTCTTTCATGTACTTTCTAGAGACAAGAGTTGTTGGTTATGTGTAATTGTGGAAACTAGAGATGTAGTAATCTTTTTCTTCTTTCGTTTGGGTGACAAAACATTTGATTTGTTTGTTATTAAACCAAGTGATGATGTTAGGAGAGTGTTTGTTAAAGTAATTGTCGAGGCTAAAGAGGCATTATTCTTTTTTCTTTCGTTTTGGTGAAAAAACATTTGATTTGTTGTTATTAATCTATAAGTGATTTGAAGCATTATGCTTAGGTTAAGGTGAGATGGTTCGACCATATTTCGCTACTGAGCAAAATTAATCTTGAATCCGGTTTAACCGATTTGAACCAAATCGAATAAAGCGAGAGATTTTCTCAGTGTAAGAGTAAAGAGATATTAAAGTCAAACACTATAGAGCGAAGAAAAAAAAGAGTCAAACGTTACGAAAACTAACGACGTTAGTTTAGTTTAACTGTTACAAATACATTACGAAGAGGGAATCCCAAATTTTTTTCGATTTCACGCTCTTTCCTCTTTCCTCTTCCCTCTCACTTCACTTCCAAATTTTTTTAATTTCTTCTTTTTCCCCCAAAATTTTCAGAAAGAGAGAATACAGAAAAACCTAGCCTTACTTCGCCGTGGCGATTCATTCACACCTCGACGACGAGCTCGTCGTAATCGCCGACATCGATATCGGCGCTGTCTCTACGCTTCTGGGTTTCGATGTCTCTACGTCGTTAAGCTATTTAACCATCGAACACTGGTGAGTATGTTTTCTAATCTTATCTCTGATTCATGTTTGTGTTATTCGAAAATCTTCGCTTGTAAGTTCGTG